AATTTTAAAATGTAGAATATGGGCAACGAAGCCAAATTAAGATAAAGTTGTAGGGGCCTGCCTTAAAAAAAATGACATGGGTGACATCCAGATCTGTACCAGAAGGTATTTCAAAGCTGTAGCATTACCATTAAGGGGGGCTGAAATATTTATGCTCAGCCTTGGAATAAAGCCAGAGTGAGCAAGACCTGTCAAGCAGTTATAAAAGGACCAGGCAGCTCTGTTACGGAAGCAGACAATTCTTAAGATGACCTGGTTCAAGAATATTTAGGATGGGCATGGGCAAAGTGCACTCCCTCCATTTGAAAAATAAATTTCAAAAATTGCTCAGAAACTCCCTTCGTTCTTTGTAAGGGTCTTAAAATACAATGTTGTAATAGTTTGAACACTACAGCGATCCCTGTCCCAACCTTAATTTTTTTTAAAAAAGCTAAATGCCTCTAGAGTGCTCAAGGATTTTTTTTGGGGTGGTGGTGGTGGTAACCTTCTCCCATCCAAAAAAAGTTATGAAAAATATTTTCATAAAGGTGTTTGAGTGGCACAGGCGCAAGTGCGATACTTCAAGGGTCAGGGGTGCACATCTGTAGCATCTGGACCTATGAAAGTTACCTTCCCTTGATTTAGGGCACTAACATTCAAGATCAGAACTGAGCAATAAATGCAGCTGAAACAAGATCAGCATAAACTGCTGGGACCATGACATGTCACTCAAAAATCTAGCCATCACATTTTGGACAAACTGGACTTTCTGAGCTATTTGTAAAGGCAGCCCTAGAAAGTACTATAGTAGCTCAGGCTGAAAGGAACCAAAACAGATTATTAATCCTCAATCTTGTATTCTCTAACGAAGGTTGTAATCAGCAAATTAAGTTTCATCGTGTTCATCCAACCATTTAAATACTGACACCAAAGCAAAGCAAAACAAAGCAAAACATCCTGCTTATACACTGCTTTCTGGGAATTAACACATCAAGAATGAACAAAACCACCAATGAACAGTGTTCCCGAAACTCATCCCCATTAGATAACACTGAAGAATATACTGTCTGATGGCATCAAACACTGATGAGAAATCAGCAATAAATACTCTCTCGGTCTATCTCCAAATACAGGGACACCAGGAAGACTCATGTCCCTGCAAAACTGGAACAGTAGTCAGACTGGAATAGATGCAAAAAATCCAATCGGTGCCCACCATTAGAAGTTGGGTGCCTAACCATCCATATTGCCTGATTAGTTTGACTTTATCTGCTACCCACTCCTGTAGCACAGCAATGGGATTAGCCACAGGAATTGAAATGCTATTTTCAATGGCTCATTTCTTTAGGACCAATTCACTGGTAATGTAGCAGTGAACATATCTCTCACCAATCTCACCTTTCCAATGAATGCCACAAGTCTTGTTGTAAACATGTGCTTATCCCATCCACACATGTCACACTTTAGGTGCACACTAAAAGTTTTGAAATAGACATTAGTGAAACTTGGATTGGCAGAGATTAATGAAGGACCTGCTCCTGGGGTTGGCATCTTTCCCATCAACCAAGCTTCCAGTCCATTTGCAACTCCTTTAACAAGGCATAGCTTGGAACCTGAAATATCTGGGATCAGAAGGCATTGTACACATACTCCCCATATCCTTATTATAATTATATATTAGTGTGAATTTTAATTGTAAGCTGCTTTGTGTGCCGAACACGGCTAGAGAACAGAAGGTAAATTCAACAAATAACACAGAGATATTCTGTTTCTTCTGCATTTTGTTTTCTAGGTTTGAAAAGGAAAGGGAGAAAAGCAAATATGAAATATGTAATTTCATATTTACTGGAATAAACAATTTAAAACTTTCCTCCCAACACTCTGTTTTGCTGCCCTTCAAGTTCTCATATTTGAGAATATTTTCTCTGCTGCTTTTTAAACTCTGCTTTAATCCAAAAATATCTGCCTGTTAAAACAAACTCACAGAGATATATTAAGAACAAATTGTAGTCTGTAAGCAGATCAGAGATTCTATATCCATTTTAGGAATGTGCAGGACAGCTGGGCATCTGCTTACAGAGAAACATGGTGTAATAGTATCATTTTCTGAAGTGATTGCTGTTGGCTGTTTTAATCCTCTAAGCTATGCTCATGCACGTAAAACAATATTTTAAAGTACAGCATAAGCCTTTCGTAACATAGCACTTGAATAAAACAGGGGAACCGCTACTTCCGTTGTATCTGACCGGGATTTCAAAAGACATCACCATCAGAATGTATACAAAGTAATTGCTTCACATACTGCACCAGTGAAATATGTTTACCATAACAGCTAACACAATAGTCATGGGGTCTCCTCAAGAAAACATGAGGAAATGTGAGGCTCATATCTTAACAAGGTTCCTGTTTGACTAGTGCATAGGTGGGAGACATTTGCCACGTGCACTGATAACAGAAGCTACCACACATGACATGTTTGGCAAATTAGCCTGCTTTTGTTTTATAATCAGTCAAATGGCTTGACTTGTCTGTCTGCTATCTCATGGTTTTAGCACTGAAAATTTTGTTTTGCCTGGCAAGATAACACTGCTAGAGAAGGAAGTATGTTTTTGTGTTATGTGAATTTAAAGAGAAGGGGGTAGGGGAATAAAACACACAAGAACAAGGGAGTGAGAAAGGAGAGAGTGTTGTTTTGGTCCTGCTAAATTTTGGGTTTGATAATGCTGGCAGTTGGCATGCTGCAACCCAGAAACTAGCATAAGTGTAATCTAAGTATAATATGGCCTTCCAACTCGAAACAGCACCCTCCAAAAGGAAGGAAGGAAGGAAGGAAAAACACTGCTGAACCTTTCTTACAACTAAAACCCTATGATGAGACAGTCCAAAATGAAACAAGAGATACAGTGGGGTCTTGACTTAAGAACGGCCCGCGTTAAGAACATTTTGACTTACAAACCACTCTCATAGGAAAATCTTGACTTGACTTACATACTTAGATTTGAGTTACAGACTGAAAAAACCCACGTGGGAGGCAGGGAAAGTGCAAAATTTGACCTTTCAGTTAACTGTTGGGCAGTGAAAAGGGTGCCTGTCTGCTTCCTCACTCCTCCCAGCGTTTAGAGAGTGGATTGGGAGACAGTCTTCAGACTGCCTGGTACTGGACTGCCTGGACTGTATTTTCCCTGCCTTCCCTGAACCTTTCTTGACCTAAGAAAAAAAGAAACAAAATATCCCCCTCTAGTGGTTGAAGGCAGAATAGCAGCTTCCCATTAGTTTCTATGGACGGAAAAGAGCAGATACGGATCAAATGGTTCTCAATGCATTCCTATGGGAAATGCAGATTTGATCTGAGAACTTTTTGACTTGAGAACCGCCTTCCAATACGGATTAAGTTCTCAAGTCAAGACCCCACTGTAATGCTGGAAGATGAGACTTCCAGCTTGGAAAGAACTCAATCAGCTACTGGAGAAGCACAAAAGACAAGCACGAATACCACTATTGCTAATGATGCAACTGGATGGATTTCAAAAAGTACCGAGTTGTCTTATCACAACTAATTGTAAAAGATAACATTTAAATTCAGAATGGAACATACTAAATATAAAAAATCATATAACACTACAAATTCAAATTACTAACAACATGGGGAAAATACAGTCATTGGAAGATTCTTAGGAAGTGTTTGCCTCTCGTCTGTGAGATCAACAGGCTCAGAGACTCCTCCTAATGCTGACCTCACATCCACAGTGCAAGAAACACTGATGCTAAGAACTTGCCTCAAGCATTCTTTAAATGGTACATCAGAGCCATTTCATCTGTGGGTTTATTTGCAAACATAACCCACCTGGCTAACAAGTTGATTATTTAGTGTTAGAACAGTGGACAGTCAGTAGCTTAGACCACTGGTTCTTAACCTTGGGTTACTCAGGAGTTTTGGACTGCAACTCACAGTGGACAGTCAGTAGCTTAGACAACCCTTATGGTGAATGGAGGCAGGTTTCCCAGCCTTCTGGAGAGGTGGTATCATCTTGTAGTTTAGGAATATACCACAGCCCTGGAAACCCTTTTATTTCCAGCCTCAAGTGGCTCACTACCCGAAGTATACCTCCAAGGTATCCGAACATTAGCCACAGCAGCATTTCCTGACAAGTCTTGAGCCATGTCCTCCCACTCAAAACTATATGGGGCAGATGACGCATAAACCAATTGGCCCATGCAGTAGTTCTTCAGACTCCACTGAATATATTTATAAATTATTAACGAGTATAGCCAATGTGAAATTAATCTCTTTGCATTATTTTCCTGAGGAAAAGTAGACAAGCATTCCTATAGACTATTTATGATTATTTTCTTTTTCAGAACATGAACACATTAGGATAGCCAAAGACTCATTCAGAGATTGAAATAGCGTTGTGGCTGAGAAGACCAATTGCTATTTCTGAAGTGATTTCTAAAATCAATTTTTCTAGGAAAATGTGTTTTCTTTTCTTTTGTTTTAGGAAAATCCTGGCCAGCCTTCTACTGTGGTGCTGCCCAAGCTCTCACTGTTTTGAAATGATTGAAATGACAAAAGATGAACTATAGGCACAGTTGCTGCTCGTGAACTTCACAAGGATACTTCACTAGTCACTGTTGATCTAGACTAGAGTTGCGAATTTTGTGGCCTCCTCCTTGGGACTCCTTGGTCTCCCTCTCTGTTGTCAGAAAAAGAATTCAGCACACACTCAAAAAAAAGGAGAATCACACCTCCTAAAATCTCCGGATGGTACCATTCTCCTGTTATATATTGTATTCTCCCTCCTCCCAACTATCAATCAACATTTCTGGAAAACCTTCTGGTCATTTCCAAGTTTATCAGAAGCTGGTAGATGGAGCCCCCCAGGTGTCTTGGAACTATGAAAAATGGAGAGGAATTGCATATTTACTACACAGAATGATTCCAACTGCCCACATATGGAAGCTATCCATACATCAGACAATCCAAAATGCATTGTTAAATAAAAGGTTTTACATTTACATACCCGCTAAGAAGTCCACCTTTTGAAGCCTTTTGCGTGAGACTTAATTTATGCATCTCGGCCATTTCCCTTAAAGTATCTGCTGAGTAAAGCCCAATAGGGTTGTTATATTGTTTTGCTGGGCTCAGCTGGTTTTTAGGGATGTTGCCATCTGCTATTACTGAGCCTGTTTTTGACTCTAGGTCATTTTTTGCTGGTGAGTGGCCAGATGTTACAGATTGAGAAGACATGGAAGATCTAATAGATGTAGTCTTTAGGAAGGAAGAGCTATGTGATATACTGGTCTCTTGTTTGCGAAGGTAGCCTGTGCATGCTCCATTGGTTGCTAAAATGCTACTCAGGGATTCAGCCGATGTGCTACTTAGAGGATTGAAGCTTGCTCGGTTGCCATTGACTTCCAGAACAGTATCCTGTAGAAGCAAACATGCAGGCCAAAGGAAAAAAAGAAAGGAAAGGAAAGGAAAAGAAAAAAAAACATCATAGAATACATGCAAAATGAAAACGTATCCAGCTCTAACATTCTACAGATGCCAGTAAGGTTGCCAGCCTTTTAATTCAAATACACATACAGGCCTCCTAGGATCAGACATGTTAGGGCTAGAATCTGACAGCTCCCCAGTGAAGCCAGGTAGGAGGTGGGTCAAAATTTAGAATTTTTAGACGAATGCAGATCATCTGAAATTTGTTTTTTGGACACCAATAAGAGTCATTTCAAAGAAACACTTCAGTTTTAGGTTATTTTTTGAGCCACTTAAATACTCTCGGATGGCAACCCTATATCGCAGACATTTTGCAACAACAGCAACAAATGCTAAGCTTTGTAGACTTGAATTAGTTAAGCAGATAAATTAACATGATCTCTTCCCAAGTCTGCTTGCTTGAGTAATGCACAAACGTATCAATAATGCTTCCCATCCAAACTCCCAGCAGTGTTAGAGTTACCATATATGAAGGACAAAACTCTCTTGCTTATGCAGTTGCACAAGGGCAATCACACAAGATATGTTAGCTCTTTTCTGGACTGCTTGTTGTGCCCAGGCTGTCCTTTGATTGTGCAATCAATCAGATAATCAATCATGTGAACAACTGTGCAACACATAGTAAAAAAAAAAACTACTTGTGCAAATGCCTTACATATATAAAAAATTTCAACAGCATTTTGATCTTAATTTGAGAATCAGACTTAATTGCCCAGTTGTCCTAATGGTAAGAAAAGCAAATCTGGTAAGAAATATGGATATCTCAATGTCAGCTAAATACATCTACAACATGTGTATATTGGTTTTTATTACCCCCAAAGGGCTAAGATTTAGTCTGCAAAAGGGAGAAGATTTCTGCAGTTACACCATATATGATTACGATTAGTCACTGAATAAGGAACACTGCCGAAACAAGCTGAACTTCATGCTTATAAAGGCCGTGCAATGGAGTTAGCAAAACAGGCTGCAAAGGAGGATCTATGAACATCCTTTTTCTTTGTACATAACTTTGACTTGAACAAGTAGATCAGGCCCACTTACAACTTAGAAATCTCTGCTCCAAGTTGGCAGCTCGACACACTTCACTCCTAGTATCCCTTGCTCCTGCCAATCCTGGGCTGAACAGGCAGAAACCTGGCTGTTCTCAGATATATTTCTATCTCTAATTTCCTGCCAATTTGGTAAAATAGCAGAATAAAGGGGAAAAGACTGAAACATTTGGAAGAGCTAACACAAAGCCAATACTCCTCTCTCAAGAGCAAAGCATAAAACTGAAGGAGTAAGTGTACTGATGGAAGAGATTAAAACATGTGGCTTCCAGATCCCACACCACTGATGTGGATGCATTTGATGACAACACATCTTGCAGAACAAGGCCTGTTTTCAGGTTTATTCTTTACACAAAGTACAGATATACAGGAATTTTTCAGTGCCAACTTGTAGGTAAGTTTTCCTAACCTTCTCTTCAAATATATGAAGACATCTACGGAAATGTCACCCAAGTCAATCTGAAGTAGTGCCGAGCCCAAAGTTCTCGGACAATAACTTTTGAACCAAAACAGATTCTCATTGCTAGTTTCATGGTCACAAGTAAAGGTAACTGTTGGCAACTTGGCACCCATCCCGACAGCCAATGTCTTTTCCCATTGGCAGCTCATGCCTACCCCAAAGCCCCCAAGAATGAATATTGATACTATGAGATGACATAACGTTGTTTCAGATTGACATCTTAGATTGGAACTTGGATTGCAGCTTTCAGCAAGACCTCTTTTTTTTCCAAATAAAGGAGCAACTAGAGAGAGATTTGTCCTGCTCTGTTGTGTTGCGTTTCTCACTGTGCCTTTCCATATTTTTCCATGGACTACAGGACATTGGTGTTAATCACAAATAGATATGATATTTTGACATGAGTATGCTCTATATTTTGTTTGGCTGGCAGGGGTTGTATTTTTTTTATAGCATTTGTACTCACATTTTGTTGTGCCTTCTAGTATTTAGGGCAGTTTTTCGGCATGCCCAGACTGTAGATCTGATATTTTGACATGAGTATGCTCTATATTTTGTTTGGCTGGCAGGGGTTGTATTTTTTTATAGCATTTGTACTCACATTATTTTGTTGTGCCTTCTAGTATTTAGGGCTGTTTTTCGGCATGCCCAGATGACATTACTGATGATGCAGAGTGGGATGTGGTGTGGGAGTGACCCTTCTTACATTTGCCTGCCTTCTGCCCACACGGGTAAGGATTACAACTGCAACGCAGTTTAGTGCTACAGTCACAACACTAATTCTTTCTGCCCACATGGGTAAGGATTACAACTGCACCGCAATTTGTACATTGTATTTTAAAAATACTTTTCCTCTTAGTTTAGTGCTACAGTCACAACACTAATTCAGATGCACTTATTCATATGTTTACTATGTCTTGTCAGGTCAGCACTATTTCACTTGCTTAACATTAAAAAATTAGGAAGGGATATGGAAGCTGGCAAAAGGGGTGGATAAGGAAGTGGTGGCAATGGCAGAGAAGAATGAGGGACAAAGGGATTTGTGTGATGTGTGGACACGTGAAATGCACTTTCCTAGGATACTGAAACATTTCAGTCCAAAACATGGCAGCAATTTAAATACCAGAGTGCACTACAGAGAACTTTGTGTCAACAAGACACAAGGGTAACTACTAAGTTGTCATGTCCTAACACTGGCAAATCCCTCCCTTGATTTTGCCCCAATGCATTGTTCTCTGGAAATTACTGGAATCCCCTCCTTATTTAACTACATGTTAGTGTGCCATCCAGATGTACCAAGCAGAGGGTACAATGGCTTAGTCCTAATGTCTTTGGACAAAATACCTGATGATTGTCAAGGAAAGCAAAATCTACTGAAATATTTAAAAATGCAGCTGGAGGAGGGGGAGCTTAAACTGCCCGTCTCCCTTCAAGAGATGAAAGACAACCTCTTCCGGTAGGTTTTAATAACCATAGCTGAGTACCTGGATGATGGTTTTAGCTAAGCTAGGCTGCAACTACATGGTCAAATGCTGCAGAATTTGAAGTATGTTTACTGACCACATGATTCAAACTGATCCAGCCCTTTTTCGCTCCCAAAGTCATTTCTCTCTCCTCCCCACCCCCCCAGCCACTGAGGGACTTCTACCTTTTCAAGCCAGAATGACTGGAACAGGCATTTCCCCATGTGGTTAGCTGCGATACAGTCTTGTAAACACAGGTTGCATATCTGTAGGTGGTGATATAGTGACACAGGCAGTTGGGAAGTGATTGTCAGCACCAACAGAACACGCCCCTGCATTTGTTTCTCTCCCCTGATTTCCCTCTGAAGTTTTATTTTTATTTTAAAAAAATCTTACATATATGAGGTTAGTGCTAGATCACCCTTAATGCTAGGTCCTTGTTGTTATTATTCCCTATATTTACACTTTGTAAAAGGATAGGGAGAGGCAGGACCAGAGGAAGGAAAAGGGGTGAAGAGGGAGGCTGTGGGCTTGAATGTGAATCACAATGCATCCAGAATGAACAGTGAACGGCCAAATCAATCTGCAGCTCCCATGTAAGCACCAATTGGCATTTCAAATGTAATACAGGCTGTGAATCAAATCACAACAAGGTCAATTCATTCTAATTCAGCTTTCCAGTATAGTCACCTCCTAAGTTCGGTTTTAAAGTTTAAATGTTTTTAAATCATTTAATGTGTTTTTAAATTTTACTTGATTTAACACTGTGAGCTGCCTCGAGTCGCCTCATGAGGAGAAATGCGGTCTATAAATGAGATGAATGAATGAATGAATGAATGAATGAATGAATGAATGAATGAATAAATAATAACACCTGATCTTAAAGGAACATAAGAAAAGGTATTATATCAGGTCTCACTATTTTGCCCACCTAACACACTGTAGTATATTCTGACTGGCTGCAGCCCTCTAGCTCCTCAGTTTCAAGTCACCTCATGAGGAGCACACTCTTTTCAGCCCTAAGGGACGCATACAACTTTGGCTGGAGCCATGCATATACACATGCATACGTACACATGTGGACAAATGTTTATGTGCACTTAAGACAACCCAAACTTACACACACTCACATGCACACAGGAAAAACATTAATGTAATTATTCTTCTCCCCGTGTAATTATTAACATTTAATTACAGCACTTCAATCCTTACAGTTTAGTTTGCTAGCACACTTACATTTTTTTTGATGAGTGAATGCCCTTCTCCTGTTTTCAGCAACAGCACTAACACAAGAGGGGCTCAGAGGCCTCTGTTAGAGCTTTCCTAGAAGAATCAGTGGCCTTCTGCCCTGACCTTCCTTCTGCCCCCTGGGGGCAGGGGGGAATTGTTCTGAGAACACATACAGAAGTGTTCAAGAAGTGGACATAGGGGTAGGTAAATGGAAACGGGTGGGGGGGAATTGTTAGAAGAACCAGTGACAGGCAGGGGAGGCTGTGAAGAACAAACCAACGCCAGAAGTGCCAACAGCTAGGGAAAGATCTCCTGTAATTCACCTACAAGTTTTTTTTTCCAATGGGAGCACATAAAATACTTTGAGGAGGCACATGCTACCTGAAATCCTTCCTCCTGTGTTCCCTGATCCTTCCTTCCGGAGATGCTGACAACTGTGGATCCTTCTGCTTAAATCCATGTTTTCTTCCACAGTGCTATGGCCACCCCATGGCATTGTTTTAACCAGCTTCTCCTTCTCTGTTTTAATTAGCAGAAATGTATTTTCATTGTACTTCTACTGTAACATTTCAACTCACCAGAAGAGGAGGCTGTTATCCTGTGCATTGGGCTTCATCTCTAGAGACATATTACAGTCACCTCCCTAGAATATTTCATGCCAGAGACAAAGCTGATTCTCATTCTCTGCCCGTTACAAAATTTTGAAGCATGCAGAATTGAGAAAGCTGGGAT